GTCAGGTCATCGGACGTGTTCGAAGTCCAATGAAAAGGCGCCACATCACATCTTACTCAAAACTGAGCTCGGTACTGCTTGGTACTGTTCAGTATCAAACTCAATACCGAGTAGTAGGTGATGTGGCGTATTTTCATTGGGCTCCGAACACGTCCGGCCCAACGTGGGAGGTAGGGGGGTAGTGGGTGGAGAAACAGGGGAGTGTGGCATTGCCCTTGGAATTAGGTAGAATTTTATGACTCCCGAACAAATAGCTCGAGTAGGCTTTTTAGGTGCACGTCGGAGAAAAAACTGATTTTTGAAGAAGCTATTCTTAAAGCAGTATATACGTTATTGGAAAATTCAATTGGTTTGTTGTTGCAATATGGAATTAAATTACATTGATATTCTCAGATATTATTTAAGTTCAAATAGATGTTTTATATCTCATAGTTTTAAAAAAATAAATAAAACTGATAACATCAATTTTATATTATCACACAAAGCATCTCTAGGATATGTCTTTTTTTTTTTTTTTTTCTAAAATAACTTTCTAAAAGACCCCTTATTAAATTGGACAAATAGGGCACATGAACATTTATTAAGCACTCTATCGTATAGTGCAATGTCTTGACTTAAAATTGAAGTTTTGACTAACTTTAATAACTTCTTTTTGTCATAAATTCAAGATTTATTAAATCTTATGGTTCGGCAAATTTATGGGATTTGATCGAGGAAAGGCACGAAAGAGGAGAAAGATGATTACCATTGCAGCATGTCAGTTCATGTTGTCTTTGAAGGAGGTAAAGGGAAGAAAGTTGTCTATATGTTGTAACTTCGGATCCACCAGGGACAGAAAAAGAGAATGTTGTCAAATGAGGTGAAGAAGCTTTAAGTCATTTGTTCAAAACTCTAACTCACGTAACCTAGCGGCAAATTAAAAACGAAGATATGGAGAGAAAGACCTAACGAGTAAAATAATTGACAAATTTTATAAATGAATATCATAAATTCGTAATAAATAAATAAATAAAAGAAAATTTAAAAGTCGCTATCGATTCTAGTGTTTGGCAGCCACATGGGAAGGGGAGTTGGTTGACAAGAAATTTTTTCAAAAAAGTGTAAAGTTTTTATTATTTTTAACAACTTGCCGGTGCTGTTAGCGACAATATCCAAGGAGTTGCTCGACAAGACGAATTCAACGAGCCCAACGTCACTTAATTTGGACATCATTAAGGCAGTTAAATGCTTAATGCATGTTCTATGATCAAAGGAACCATTATGGGCCACATGACGGGGCACTTCGAATTTGCCCCGGATCTTCTTCATATTTATAAAGTGTGTCACTCACAAAAATCTATAAATAAACCCCCACTATCTACATGAAGGGAACCTTCTTTGCTGGAATTTGAAGAGAGCTATGAGGCTTCGAGGATCTTAAGCTCCACCCAAGCACCACCGTAGGCTAGCATTTGTTAGTCGACCGGACCACTGCCAGACCTCCATAAATCTCCGTTGAAATTCCGTCGACCATTGCCAATCTCGTCTGTACTTCTGCTCAACCACCGCAAAACCACCGTCCGATAGCGCGATCTCTACTAAACTAACACCCGAACATCGTCGGACTACCAACCAGCTGCCAACCTTTGTTGGACCACCATCCAACCACTAATATCCATCAATCCATCGCACCACTGTTAGACCACCACTAGGCCTCCGACCTCTATAGGACCTTCTCACAGCTGCAATCATTAGACTATCGACCTCTACTTTTTGACTAAGATCATTATAAACTCTCAAGCACCCATAACTGTAATTTAACAACCTTCAAGTCAAAAGATGGGTCAACCTTCATAACTCACTCAAATATAGTAGTGTTGCGTTATGGAATATTCACGGTGGCAGGGGGCAACTGATACGTCATAAAAAATTTATCTTAATCGGGCACGAAACTTGAAGCAAAATTGAGTTGAAAGCTTCCAAAATTAAATCGGGGACCATCAAAACTCCGATATTTGCCAACTTATAGTCGAACTGAACATCTCCAAAAAGTAAACCCAACGACACCAAAATAAGTCCAATCCGAGCCCAAAAGGGTCCAAATCAAATACTCAAAGCGCATTAGGAAGGTTCAAACTACAATTTGGATTATCAAACAGTTTCCAAACATGACATGCTTATAGTCGAATCGAGCAACTTGATGAGACAAATCCAATGAGTCTAAGTTCATCAAATTTTGATATCATTAAGACATTCAAATGTCTGATAAATGTTCTATGATCGGGGGAGTCAATACAGACCATCCGATGGAGCACTCCGAACCTACCCTGAATATTCTCTATAGTTATGGGTTGTGCCACTTATAAAAATCTATAAATCGACCCCCAATCTCTACATGAGGAGGATCTTTTGGATATAAATTGGAGAGTGCCCTGAGGCTCCAAGAGCTTAAGCACCACTGTTAGCAAACCCCCATCAATTGCCATCAGACCACCGCTCGACCATCGATCACCGTCAAACTTCTGTCCAGCCACCGCTAGACTTCAACCTAACCGTTGTCGGACCAGTGCCTGGCCACTGACGACCACTAGAATTCCACCTGGCCGTCGACCGCCGTCAGACTTTAGCCTGACCGTTGTCAAACTACCACCAGACCGTCGACCACCGTCAGACTTCACCCTGGCCGTTGTTGGATCACCAAGCGGCCACCGACCGTCGATTATCGCCTGACTTCATTCTGACCGCCGTCAGACCACCACCCCGCCGTCGATCGTCGACTAACTTCCACCCTGCCGGGGACCTCCGCTAAACTTCCACCCAGCCGCCGACTGTCGCCAGACTTACTGCTTGACCTTCATCGGACCATTCCTAGTCAGCTAAACTTATGACCATTATCCGACTTCTGCATGTTGCCAAACTTGTGTCAATCACAAGAATACCTTCGGACTTCTACTCAACGCTGGACTTCTGTCTGTCACCAGACTTTCATCGGACTTATTCGAGACGCCGGACTTTCGTTTGTTGCCAGATTTCTACCCGACCAGACTTCCACCCATCATCGAAGTTTTGTCCGTTGTCGGACTTCTACCCTAAGTCAGACTTCTGCCCGTCATCGAATTTCTACCTGATATCAGACATTCGCATGTCACCGGACCTCTATCTCACGCTAGACTTCCATCCATCATTGCACTTCTACTTGATCACCAATTATCACTTGACTTACGCCTTGCCACTTATGATCATTCCAACCTCTGTCGCTAGACTATAGTCCTTCCAACCTTCAACGCCATATTATGTTCCTTCCATCCTCCATCACTTGTCGACTATGTCTTTTCGACCTCCGTCACCTATTGACAATAGTCCTTCCGACTAATGTCACAAGACTATGGTCTTTACGACCTCTGTTGACGGTCGACTACGATCTTTCCGACCTCTATCACTTGACTACGGTCTTTCCAGCCTATGTCGCCTGTCGACTACTGTCCTTCCGACCACCGTCACTCGAATACGATCTTTCTGACCTCCATCACCAGCCAACTATGGTACTGACGACCAAACAAATATATCAATTTTGATTCTTCCAATTTCCACCATGTAATGCATCATATATAATGTATATTTGTTACATCAAGCAAAGGTTTCCCCCCAATGAAGGACCTCATTTGTAATCAACTACAAATACTAGTGGATTCAATCAATTTGGTCCAGACCCCATGGTTTTTCTCATTTTCAAGGGTTTCCACGTAAAAATCTCGGTGTCTATTATAAATGTTGCACCATCTCTTTTTATCTAATTGTGTGTTGGATCTTCGTACAAAACTAATATGCTAAACAATATTACTCTCTACCATCACGAATATTCCAGGACGCAACAATTAAAATATTTTTACCTGAACGAGGTTGTGTGTTTTTTTTTTCTTTTTAAGTTTTCCACATAAAAAAGTTATGGTGCTTTTCCACTCTTTAAACTATTTCTTTATGTGTTCGATATTCGTGCAATGCTGGGATGAAAAATTAACTCAATCTACCATCGCGAATATACTAGCTCGCAATAATAATATTTATAAAATTATTAGTATTAAATTTTTTGTTATTTTATATAATTATATACTAATGTTTAATTTAATTAATCAAAACAATATATATATATATATATATATATATAATATATAATATATATATATATATATATATATATAATATATATATATATATTATATATATATATAATTAATTAAGGCTTTTTTGTGGCAATTTTTCATGTTAGCTAATTCCCTCCACAAGTCCACGTCACCAGCCATGTGGTCGCCAATCCCCATAACAACTAAAAAAAAGTTACGAGGAAGTATTGTTCTTAGGCTAGTGAAAACCCCGATCGACCTAGTATGCAACCCACACCAATTTACATGGGCCAATATTTAAGGCTTTCACTGCTTGCCAAGGAATTCGAACCAGGGACCTAGGCTTTGCCCAGCCGGCTCTTCACCACCCGTACAAGCAGCGGTGGGTCCCATAACAACTAGCTAGCAACTATGTTTCTTTTTAAATTTTATCTTTTTACTTTTTTCTTTCAATAATATAATTTATTATGGTATTTATTTATACTTTTTTCCTAAAATAATTAGTAATTATAAATTCATTAAATAGTAAGTAATTAAACACTGTATAATAATTAAATAAATATCAATTTAGCTAGTAATTAAATACTTAAATAATTATTCACATAATTAATAATATACATAGTAATAAATTTTTTTAAAAAATACTTAATTATTAATTAGATTATTTCAAACAGGTCCAAATTATTTAACAAATACTTAATTATCAATTTAGCTATTTAACATTCAACCAAATAGCTCCAAACAGATTTTAATTATCATTGATGTCAGACTTATTATGAACAAAATAACTTGAATACAAATTATATATATATTATTATTTTATTTTTTTTTTTTTTTTGAGAAAAGTTTGAAGAAGATTTTTTTCCGAAAATTACCAATCTCACGGAGGAAAGAGACCTATTTTTACGTTAGGCTATTCTCCTCTCTGTAAAACATCTCAGCAGATTTCTGTACACCAAAAAGGGGGATAAATGGAGACCGAAAACAATAATCCTAGCATCTCCTTTACCTTACCTTTTGCAGTTTTGCTAGCTCTCTAATACACCGTCGTTGAAAAGGTACAGCAGTTGCTCCACGGCCCAGCTCGGCTCAGTCAACGCCGACCTTCCACCCTCCACCGCCGTGGAGATAACCGGAGCGCGGCAGAGAGGACAGGTCATCTGGTCGCGGTGGTCGAGCCAGCGGTCGATACAGGCTTTGTGGAAAACGTGGCAGCAGTTTCGAAGCTCCCAAACGCGATCTCGTTGTCGCATCTCGCTCAGGCACACGGCGCACGTAACCTCCTCTTCTTCTTCCTCCTCCTCTGTGTCCTCTTCTTTCGCCGTCACCATGATCTCCCCGTAGGTCGCCACGTGGAGGATTTTCCTTCTGGTCTGCGGTGTAACTTGGGGGACGTCGAGGTTACCTGCTATACCGCCGCCGTTGTTATCAGAGGGAAACCACCAGCGGAGGCGACAAGGGAGGAGTAGCAATCGAAGTATGAAGGAGAGGAGAAGGCTCGCCTTGTGGAGGAAGGTTAAGCAGTATCCCTCCATAGTATAGAGAACTTTGGTAATTGAATTGAGAGAGAGGGAGATAGGAGCGGGTGAGGGAAAGGGAATGGGGTAAACGAGAAAGGTCGGAGGCTGGAATTTAAAAGCCTTGGATGGATATAAAACTGAACCGTGACGTCGAAGCCTGAGGTGGTTTATTGCTGAATGTGGTCCTCCATTTTTTTAGGTCCTTTTATCTTTTTTTTTTTTCTTTTTTTAAAGTTTCACTTTTATTTCCTTAGCTTCTGGTATGCTTTATGGCTTATGCCTTGGGAACATGATTCATTTTTTTTTGTCACCAGAAAATGTTTCAATACATATCTCATTATTCTTTTTTAGTTATGTCTAATTGTCTATAGCATTTAGTATTTTTTATATAATATATTAATTATATGAAAATATATGTCTGAAAAGGTATATTTTAATATACAAAACTTAATCCTTGTGATGTTTTTATATGTTTTAAAATTTTAACTGTTAAATAAATGAATATTTGTTTAGCTTTATTAATTATATAGGAATGTTCCTTTTTTTCTCACTTTATTTTCTTTCGTTCTTTCCTTTTTATATTTTATTTTCAGACTTTTAATTCATATTCTTTAGTTATATTGTATTTTTTAAAAAAAGATTTTTTTTTTTTTTTGTGAATAATAAGTGGTGTCTTCATAAATCTCAATTTTATGAATTGAAAATGATTGCAAATCTCCTTTGATATAGCTCTTGATGCCTTCTAAAAAATATTTGATATGTTAAACAAAGGGAGAAAGAAACCATCATATATTCATGTAGTCATGGTCTACTCAAAAAACGGTTGAAAGTACATATGTCAAAATGGATTTTCAGGTCGGGCTCGGGTCAAACCCGAAACTAATATGCCTTCAACTGACCCGACTTGAACCCAATCCAATTAGACTAACGGATCATAAATCCTAACACGGACCTGACTGACCCTAACCTAGGTTGACTCGACCTGACCCACTAACACGTGTTGCCGCGAGCAGGCTAGGGTGAGGCCATGTCGGCGAGGGCGAGTCACGAGCACGAGTGCTAGCAAGGGTGTGCGAGTGAGTGTAGCAGCGAGTGAGGGCACGTGCATGTGCGTGTAAGAGCAGGTGTGAGCACGTGCATGAGCGTGAGAGCGACCGTGTGGGTGCTAACACGACCAGAGTTAGTTTTAGGTTGATTTCAGGTTGACCCGAACTCGACCCAATTTTACAATAATGTGAAGATTTAAAACCCAAACTCGAACTATTTTTCAAACGGGTTGACCCATAATAAAAATTTTCAAGTCGGGTTTGGGTCAGGCTTTTTCTGATTGCATCAAATATTGACACCTTTAGTTAAAAGAGGCTTATAAGTCCATACTATGAAATTTGGCTACAAATTTGAGATATCTGAATTTTAACAAGATGATGATTCAACCCAAAGCCCTCTCGCATTTCTCAATGAAATCTCACGACATTATCCGGATGAAACAGCTTAGTTTATGATTGTCTAATTTCAAATATGCGAGAGTTCTACGAATCATAGTAATGATTGACTTTTCCCAATTATGATTAGGAGTTCCTAATAATAGGTCCTTTTTGAGAAAATTACCTCCACAATTTTCTTGAAATAGAAACTTCATTAGGTTGTACCAGTGTTAAATGAGCCATACAAATATCTAGATTAAGAAAAACTTTGATTTTGGGTTTTATTTGGATGACGCATTATTAGAACAACAAAGCTATTTATGATTATCAGTAGATGCCCCAACAACAGTATCTTATATTCTCAAATCTTATAGCCTAAGGCTTCCAACTAAACTTAGGTGATCATTCTTTCATTATTTATCACTACAATCACATATGTATAAACCTTCTTATATATTTTGATGATATTCTCAATATCAAAATCCAAAAAATTGTTATCACAGTGCTTACTAAAAATCCTAGCCTAGAAGTTTAATAATATGTCCTATTTCGTCAACATTCAAATTGAACCTACATAATGATGCTTATTTCTCAATTAGACCCTATTCTCAACTAGATGACCCAAATCATGGAGTATTCGCGACGGTAAAGAAATATATAGTTTAACGTCTTAATGTTGTACGAAGATCCAACACACAATCATATACGAGAGAGTGTGTGTGTAGCGTTCATAAGAGACACCAGAGTTTTTTATGTGGAAACCCATAAAAAGGGGGAAAAACCACGGGGTCTGGCCCAGTTTGAATGAATCCATTAGTATTTGCAGACGATTACAAATGAGGTCCTTCCTTGGGAGAAGGCCTTAGAGCGCATTACATGGTGGGAGTTACAATATAGACATGTTTGTTTAGTCGGCACGACCAATAGATAGGATAGGGGTCAGAAAGTTCGTTGTATGGTGATGGAGGTCGGAAGGGCCGTAGTATGCAGGAGACCAAGGTAAGAAAGGTTATTGTTTGGGCATCAGGTGGTGGTACAGCAGAAGTCCGGGTCTCGAGTGGCGGTCTGGTGGAGGTGAGGGCCTCAAGTGGTGGTCCGGCAGAACAACGACGTCAGGCGGTGGTTCGGCGGAAGTCCGGGTCTGATCAGGTGTTGGTCCGGCAGAAGTCCAGGCCTCAAATGGTGGTCCGACAGAGGTGAGGGCCTCAAGTGGTGGTCCAACGAAGCAACAACGTTATGCGATGGTTCGGCGAATTAAAAGTTTGGGTCTCAGGTGGTGGTCCGGCAAAAGTCTGGCCTAAAATGGTGGTCCGGTGGAGATGAGGGCCTCAAGTGGTGGTCTAACGGAGCAACATTGTCAGGCAGTGGTCCGGCGGAAGTCTGGGCCTCAGGTGGTGGTCCGGCAGAAGTCCGGGTCTCAAGTGGTGGTTCGGTGGAGGTGAGGGCCTCAAGTGGTGGTCCGGCAGAACAACAACATCAGGCGGTGGTCCGGGCCTCAAGTGGTGGTTGAGGAGGAGCTTCTTCCTTCTCTTCTTTTTTTCTCTTCTCTTCTTGCTGGATTTTTATTAGGTCCGGACACCTGATGTAGCTCTACATACGGACGCCAATAAAATGTAGCCACGTGCTCTTACTCTTTACCGCGCGGCCCGACGACCTGACCTGGAACGAAAACCAGGTATTGCTATGTCGTTAGGGGTGTCAATATTTGACACGACCCGAAAACCCGACTCGAACCTGACCCAAAAATTTCGGGTTAGGGTCAACCCGAAACGGGTCGGGTTCGGGTTCAACATTTCGACCCGTTTCAAAAATCGGGTCGGTTTCAGTTTAATCCTTTGACCTAAAAACCCGATTTTGACCCTGCAACCCGATATTGACCCGATTTTAACCCGAAAAAGAGGAGATAAACCCATTTTTTTACCCGAAAAAGAGGATATATACCCATTTTGACCCAAAAACTAGCATTTTTTGTTGGAAACGAGTCATTCGTGTCATGTCGGGTTGACCCGGACTTGAAGCAGGTCGGGTTCGGGTCAGGTATACCGACCCGTTTTCAAAAATGGGTCAGATTCTGGTTGACCCGAATAATGCCAGATCAGTTTCGGGTTCGACCCGAACCCGACCCCTTACCCAAAATTGACACCCAAAATGTTCGTGTATTGCTAGGTATTGCTCGGTATTGTTAGGTATTGCTCGGTAGTGCTAGGTATTGCTTGACAATAACGAGAAATACTGCTCTGTCAAGACTAATATTGAGCAATACAGAGCAATACCTAGCAAAATCGAGGTATTGCTAGGTATTGCTATGTATTGGTCTTGACATAATTGTATTTATCGTTACCGAGCAATATCGAGCAAAATCTAGCAATATTCTGGCCTGTACAAATCAGCTAATACATAACAATATAGGGTTCCGGTTCGGATCGGCTCGTTGGGCCGCACGATAAAGAGTAAGAGCACGTGGCGACATTTTATTGACGTCCGGATGTAGACCTACGTCTGGTGACCGGACCTAATAAAAATTCCTTCTTGCTTGGGATCCCCTTTTAAAAGAAACGAGGGGTCTATTTATAGATTTCTGGAGTGTCATGGCATGTAAATAGGTGAGAGATCAAGGATAAAGGGGGAGTGGTCGGATGGACGGCCGATGTTGAATCCATTTATCATTGACCGTTTGATGGACATTTGAATGCCTTAATGATGTTGGAATTCAGTGATCTTGGGCTCGTTAGATTTGTCTCGTCGAGCCGCTCGATTCGACTATAAGCACGTCATGTTTGGAAACCGTTTGGTAACTCAAATTGTGGTTCAAACTTTCCAACAGTGTTTTGGGTCCTTGATTTGGACTCATTTGGGCTCGAATTTACTCGAATTTGGTGTCATTGGGTTCGTATTTATGAGACGCTCAATTTGACTATAAGTTTGCTGAAATCGGAGTTCATGTGATTTTGGGTTTAATTTTTGAAGTTCCGAGCTTGATTTTGCCTCGTGATTCGTGCCCGATTCATGTAGCCGACCCCACGTAGTGGGATAAAGGCTTGATGTTGTTGTTGTATTCGTGCCCGATCAAGAGAATTTTTTGATGATATATCAATAGGAATGAAAAATTGTAAAGTGGTGCTCACCCCTCTTCCCTCTAAATCGCCTATCAATCAACCGTCACTACAAGCATTTGAAAATCTACAATGTTATAATCGGCTCATTTGATCCATTTTATCACTCACAATTATTAAACAAGATGTTTCCTTTATGATTAATTCAACTGTCACCAAATCCATCATTTACTTCGCAGCCATTTTGAAGTCACTAAACTTCTACTTCACCGTCATAATTGCACACACTCTTATGATCTACTAATTACATTCAGTAACCTCATTGTTCATTCATACTCTAACTCAAATAGAGCAGGAAGCAATATTATAACTTTCACTTGGCAACACATCATTATCTTAGAGTATGAAGAAACAATCCATGGCCACAATAAATGCAATATATTTGTCGTTTGTTTCGTGTGTTCAAAATCACATCAAATCAATCTAATCCCATTTCAACAATGTTGTTTAAGGCTTCGTTTGTGACGTTTTTTTATTGCTTCTTAAAACGGAGTTTTAAGGCTTCGTTTGGGGCTGCTTCTTAAAGCAAGATTCTAGTACAAAAATTTTAATTTTTGTACTAGAAAGCTGCTCTAAGAAGTAATAAAAAAG